GGGGGGGGCATACTTAATCGGCGAGGCGAACACAAATCAATCGACCTAGCTGCATGCACGCTCCTCATTGCAAAATCCTATGGTTACTCGAAACTAGGCAAGAGTGATTTCTTACGGCCTAGTAGGTAAGCCACATCACTGTAAGGGAAAATGTCAGTTTAGTATCTGATTGACATGCGCCAGGTAGCGTTGGGAACAGGAGAAAGAGTCTGATTTTGGAGATTATTTAAAGAGTTAATTGTTGCAGCTGAAAGCGTTGTACAAGTGCTTTCATTGTGATTCCACGAATTGGTGCTTTTGCCAATTTAGTAGTTGATTAATGAATACTTTAGTGCACGAGAAAGGGCGTTATGGAGGGAGCACTTTGTCTCTGACCAATAGGAATCGTTGATTTGCCTCGTTATAATTGGCTAATGCTGAGGGCTAGTAAACTGACCACGGCTACTAAACAGACATTTACGCTTACCCATTCTACATCGCGCTTATTATCGCATCGCGAATACTTGTGAGATTACATCGATCCCGTAGCACATCGACAACTGCCAGCTCGCGCTTTTGAACAGCAATTTCAAGTGCACAACCAATAGACGTCGAGTCACATTTGTGTAGCATTGACTTTACTGTCCCAAAACATCCTTTTGCAGAAGCCGTCATTAGAGCCCAACGGATGCAAGTTGTGTCCATCTGCTCCAGCAAAATCTCGACTAGCTCGACCACATCCTTCTCGGTTGCTTTGACAAATAGGTGCTTGGTGGAAACAATATCACATTTCTCCAGCAACAATTTTGTTGCAGCGATATCTCCATTCGAAGACAGCTGCAGTATCGCTTCCTCAACCGTCGGCTGGTCACTGTATTGGACAGGAATATCAACCATCGCAACTTGATCTTTTCTAGCTGCGTGTACCAGTGCAGCCACTATGTAAGGATCCTCCTTGATATAAACTGCAGTCATCGGCGCCAATAGATGCAGCATATCCGTGCTGTTGTTTTCAACAGCAATCTTCAGTGATCGCCCTACATCAGTAGGATCGCACTTTTCGACCAATAACTTGGCCATCTCCACGTCGCCACGAGATGCTACATCTTGTACCATCATTCCAATACGTAAATGATACCAGGAATCCTCCAAGTTTCTCGCCTCACACTCGTGAAGCAGTAACTTCACCAGCTCGTGGTTACCAGCCTTTGCTGTTTCTTTTAGCACAAGTCCTATTAGCTCAGATGAACATTTTACCGCGAGTATCTTGACCATATCGGCGTTTCCACGCTCAGCCGCAGAACGGCAGGCTACGCTGATGACACCTTGCAGCTTTGGAACGATTGGGGACCCGGGTGGTGGGCCCGGGGAGATTCGCAGTTCGAAGCATACTGTTGTATTGACCTTATTGTGGTAAAGGTAGTACACGTCGCAAATTGCTGCCTTTAACCAATTTGCCGAAAGCTGATGCCAAAAACTGATCGCAAAAGGAAGCAAATGATCCCTTTTTTAATTTTTGCCAGTCAAATGCAAGAGCTATAGCAATTTTGTGGATATCGTCTATGTTTAGCTTTAAGATGAATTTCATGAAATTCATTCTAAGCATGAATCCGGCGTGCACATCCCATTTGTCTTGTTTTAATTGGTCTTAATTTTATAAGTCGTCAAGTAGCCAATTAGAGTGGAGGAGTGTTCAAGTTGTATTTTTATATCCAGAGTCCTATGCGGGATCCAAGCAACGTACCAATGCGCCCATAATTAAATCCCCTTTGAATCGGATCAGGTACAAGTTGAATTTGCATTTTAAAAACTTTTTGCTTATATTGTGGTTTGCAGACTTTTTGGCACTTTCGATTGTAATTCGTACGACTTTTCAAGTACTAATTATCAACAAATCGTACTCGAGTACGATTTAGTACAAATCATGCATCATCTTTCCGGCAGCTAGTAGTGCGGTCAAGCATTTAAT